TTTTTGGAAATTCGAAAAATTTTGTAGGAAAAGGGAGGACGCGACTATCCACGGCGTGAACGCAGCAGCATCGACTCGTTTCGAAGCTCGTCGTCGACGTCCACGTCCACGTCCACGACGACGACGCAGTACCTACCTTTAACGTGTTTGGTGCGCGCGTTGTATCGATTTCACCGAAGCCTTCCCAGCTACGGCTACGTTTCACCACCAACTTCGAAAAAAGATGGTGGTATATCTCTACCATGAATCCTTCGAAATATTTATTCCGATCGATCTCAACGCGTCATACAAATTTGTCGTATGGAAACAAAAAAAATTGGATCATCGTTATTTTGTCGATAGAACAAAAGTAGTCGCGAAATTCTTTTTTTTTTTTCTCTCTCTCTTTCGTATAAAACGATACGTATGAATGAAATATACGTTTTAAAATTCTAAAAAAAAAAGAAAGAATCGCGTTATTCCAAATACATACACGCGAATGTAATTTCTATAATTTCCTTTCGAAGAAAAAAATTTAGAGATCTTTTAAATATTCGTATTTGACGTCGAGTTCAATCTGAATTTAAAATTGATCAGATGCAACGTAGGATGGAAAATTATTATTTCCTATCGACGCTTTCGAAGAAACTTTCGATACGACGGAAATCGAAATGTTTTTCCACGAGCGAAAACGGATATCGATTTTGTTTGTTAAAAAGGGAGAAGAAAAGAATAGTGTACGAAAGCGTACGTTGGGTTCCAGAAAATTGCTGATGCGTGGACGAATCGGGCGGTATCGTTGGATCGGCGAATGACGTGTTTGTGTGGTTACGAATACGTGCGGGGGCCGGAAGGTGATTTTCGCGGCATCTGTGTACGAATCCGGCTCGATACGCGTTGCAAGGTTACCCACTTTCCAACGCGGAGTACGTACGCGTCGTCCTCAAGGTATGCCGATTTTGAGGCAGGTCAGTTGACGCTCTTTCACTCGCGGTAACGCATTTCTCAAAGATTCTCTACACATTTCTTCTTCATCGGATAGGGTTGATCTAATGCTAATTTAACGAAGCGCGATAACGCGTCGCAAACTCGTAGCGTATTGCTACGATCTAAGTCGGGATCAATCGGTGGGGAGGAGGGGATTGTTCCCTCGTAGGGGTCGATAGGGGTAGCTGGGGTATCGGCGACACACCCCAAACAACCAAATGTTGCGATATCTCGACCGTGAACGCGTCGAAGGACTTGTTAGTCGACTGACCTACCCTAAAATCGACCACAGTTGTGCACATACACGCGTGTAAACGCACATCTATCGTCCGATGATCGATTTTCATGGAAGCGTTTTCGTGGAGATAACGAGCGTGGTAGCAAACTCGGGGATGACGATTAAAAGTAACGCGGCGGAGGCGAGATAACGTTTACGACGAAAAATAGATATAAGGTAGCTAGGTTAGGAGTAACGATATCGGTAACTGTGTAGAGATAACGATGGTAACGGTAGCGCGATAAAAGCGATGGCCAGAACGCTTGGATGGACGTCGATACGAAGAATACTAACTTTATCGATTACATATATATATATATATATATATATATAAATATGTAAGAGGTGAGATTGGAAAGATCGATCTCGAGTCTGATTTTTTTCTTCAAATTGGAGCGCGCGAAGCGAGTAAAAGAAATCGGTCGATGCGTGATTGCGTTCCAGCCAATCGAATCTAATTCGCTGCTCCATTCTTGCTTGCTTCTCGATGGGAACTCGAAACGTTATCCGAACCTCTGTTCCCCTTCCTTGCCTTCCTCTCTCCTGCTTCACCTTGGTCGCTCGTCTCTCCCCTTCTTCCTCTTTCTTCTTCGACCGTACGCACCTAGGAGAAGTCCTCTCTCGTATACCGGTTTCGCATTTTACCCGTGGAACAACGCATCGTCCAACCCTCGAAAACGCGATCTCCTCTCCTCCTCGGTATAGGCGCGCACCTGCGTATACTTGATTTTGAGGCAGGTCGGGCCAGCCTATTGGTCCCTTCTGCCCGTCTCTCTCTCTCTCTCTCCTATGTCTTCTTCATCGAGAGCAGCCTCGGCTCTCGATCCAAGGCGGTATCGTTTATTAACGGTCGATTTTGGCGAACGTCGCGATGGAGGTGATACAGATATATATACGAATCGACACGTATTCGTTTCGTTGCAACGATACGCCGAACAATCGAAATACGTACGCCGCTAATAGCTTTGGAACGTCGAATCCGATTGTTCTCGATAAAACTAGGCCGGGTTATGGTTTCTTTGAAATGGTAACTGCGGTGTTCGGTGGTGAATGGTGCGAACGTTGCATCGTTGTATCGCGAGCAAAGTTTCCATTTTCTCCTTGCTTTTCCACGTTTTCGTTCTACGATATCGCGCTACTCTTCTCGTTTTATGCTGGATTGTTACGATATTTAAGAATATTTATATCGTTGCGATATTTCGTTAGGTGTCGAGATATTTATGTTTCCTTTCTTTAATTATTCCGCTCTTGGTGCCGAATCGCGCAAACGTTCAATTGTAAATCGAACGGTAAGTGGCACGTAAAGTGAAAGTCGAAACGAGCAGCAATTTGAATTTAGCGAAGGAAGAAACGCGCGTGCGTAAGCTCGATGACGATTCGACTGAAAACCGTAGAGACGATTTTTTGAAACGAATAACTTTTCTTTGTTATTGATGGTTACGATTTAATACCGAGGATTTAATTCCACGTAAATAAGTTTAATGCGATTCTTAACACGTAACCTTGATGCGTGCGTGACTTACAAGATAATAATACCGCGATGCGGTGATATAACGTTTGTAAAATGTGAGAATCGTTTCGAGATCGAATCGAGAAATTCCAACTTTCGAATTCTTCGACTTTTCGAAAGATCCATCCGAAATTTTTTCTCAATTTCGTTCCTTCCAATTCGCACGCGCACAAACGTAAACAAAAGTCGCGTGTAAAAATTTTTCTTCGTCCTCGAGAAAATCCTTCGACCAATTATCGACGGAAACTCGATACGAACGATAGACGGTCGTTTTACTTCCTACGCACAACCGAATACGAATAGATTCGAAATTCCATCGCATCATCGGCTAAACTCGATCGGGCTACGCGAATATGTTGCGAACTACGAATTACTTTGCCGCAAAGATATACAACCCGTTTCCGGAGAAACTCGTTCGGAATTCCGGACCACTTCGGATCGTAATTTACATCATGGATACGTTGTTAATTGCGATCGCGACGCGTTATTCGCGGAGAATCGTGCCAATTCGTTGGGAATCATTTGTCTCGCGTGTGAGCTTATTAGCGCGTTTTCGCTATCTCTCCGCGTTCGTATTACCAATTCTTCGAAGATATTTCGTCTTTCGAAAGTATTTTTTTTCTTTTTTAGCGTCACAGGATGAACAATTTCTTCGGAATATCGACATCCTCGACATCTTTCTTTTCATTCGTGAAAAGTGATCGAAAAAACGTTAAATATTCCTTTTATGATTGTTAATTATCCAATTATGATTTTAATATCCCCTATGGGCTCGGGGACAGAATAGACCCAACGTAATCCCTGCGTGTCGTAGAAGGCGACTAAAAGGGAAATCTCGTTAAGCTAAGAAAGAAACGAAGGGACTGGAAAACGTTCGGTTGTTACTCGCGTATCATTCGGCTTCTTCTGTTTTTGCATTACCGACGTGGTTGTGCAGCCTGTTGTTCGCGTCCAATCCGCTTAAGCGTCCGAACGGATGATCGAAACGTGTCGCGCGAATGAAAAAGTTTCTCTTCTTTCGAATCTGGAGCATCGTCCCGCGATCGCCACGGATTCGGCCCTTCTTTCACGGTTAATCACGCTTTTTCTAGGCTAATTAGAAAGACGCGCATTGGATTTGTCGGATTTGAACAAAAACTCTCGGTGAATAAAAGAACTTGTCTCTCGAATTTGCCGGGGAAGATTGACAATTATTCGAGAGAAGAAAAGAATTTTCTTTTATTTCCTGCGACTAATCTTTTTCGAAACGCGCGCGTGGATCATTCGAGTCGTAGTAAGTCGATAGAATAGTTTGGAATTTTGCTTTGGATTTCTTACGATTGCATCAATTTTTTTGATCCGTAAAGGCGAATCATCCTCTACCCGGCCTACGAACGTTTGAAACGAGAGAAAGAAATTTTCGATCGCGGAGAGGGAGAGAAAGAGGAATCGTTATCTGTAAAAGTCGCTCGTGTTAAAGAGGTTAATCCTTTGGCTAGGAGAGGTGTTATTCTTATCTCGGAATACGGTAAATAGTCTTTAAGTTGGCGATTACCCAAGTTTATTCGATATTTCTTCTGCCAGAGAAAGCATTCTATTCTCCGTTTCTTTGTTTTTCGATCGAAGAATAGAATAGTTCTAAACGACTCGATTCACGCGTTTTCACGGAAAATTATTGTTTTTCCTTGTCCATTTGGAAATTGAAACTCTCGATTGTTTGGTCGAAATAGTTGTTTATAATTATTATTCCTATCTTTATCTTATCGTCGACAATTTAAACGATATTTGTCTCGCTGTAATTTTACTTTTACAAATAATTCCGTTAATCGTTTTAATTGACAACAATTTACGTTTTTATCTATCTCTTTATTTCTTAAAAACATTTCGGTAAAAGTAAAACAAGTATTCGTTTTTACATATCTTAATTAAGAATTTTAAGAATTTTCCGTTTATAAATATTTTAAGTGTTTATGTAATTCGATAACATCTTTTTACGTATATCAAAAGCGTGAAATTCGTTAACCGCGAGAAAAAGATTCGCGATGATAGAAAATTACGACGAGATCGAAAGGAGATGAGGAAACTATTTTTTCGAAAAATCGGTTTCCTCGAACAACGTGTTAAGCTCGATCCAACTTTCGAACAACCGCCTCGCTGTTTGCTTCGAAGAAGAGATCGCGTTATCCGTTAACGCCGATGATCGTCCAATCCAGTTGCCGAGCTACCGAATTCCACGACGAATTCTCGTTCGCTTAACGACCGATTCTCAACCACGGAGACAGTTTTTCGTGTGCGCGATGATTATAGGAAAGGGACGAAAATTATACGTACTCGAGACACGCGTTATCGCCTCCTATCGGTTGTTACGTTGAACGTTCAGCTGGATGGGGTATTTTACAGCGCGTTTGAAAACGGCCGATAAACACGCATGTTTTAATTGTGCATCGATGATCGCGTAGCATAAACGCTCGTGAATAAGCTGTCGCGTATCACGCGTGTAATCAATTTGACGAAACGAACAGGAGAATTTTCGAGAAATTTTAAAATTATTCGTCGAACAACGGATTGTAGGTATACGCCAAAAATTTTCGATCGATGCTTTTTCTAATCTCGAAAGCGTGGAATTTCGTAATAAATTCGATTATGCGCGAAGCGAATCGAGAAGAATCGGTCGGGGAGAAAAGAGAAAAGAAAAGAAAAGAAAAATTGCGAGAGGAAGCGCTCGATGACTCGAGCATCCAATTTTCACGCGTTCGTTCGGATCGAACAAAGTTATCGTAATTCGACGACGAAAAAGGTTTGATCTAATTCCGATTTGGTCGGGAGTTCCCTTAATTGCAACGACGAATCCCCGTAACGAAGGGATTCGAGTAACGATCTCTACGTAATACATTGTTGTTAACGTCTAACGGTCGATTCCATTACGCAAGAGGATCGACAAGTTGTATCATTAATTAAAAAAGTTTTTCATCTCGCCGCAATTTTACGAGCGAAGCTCGTATATAGTTTCAATTCGTTGGACGAATAATTTTTGTCGAAATACGAAAGACGACGAGAACGAGAATGGAATGGAATCTCGAACGAACCGCTAATAATACATTCCCCTTGAAAGTTGGTAAAAGACGATGAAACTGGAAGGTTCCAGGAACGAAATGGCGGAGCGATTAGGCACGTTTCTAGAAAGGGATAGGATAGAAATAATGGCGGTGGGGGAACGGAAGTAGCGAGGGCCGATCGCGTGGATGAGAGAGGATGGTCGAAAAATTCGAGAGCGGTTCCTCGGGCCACTTGGGTTACCTTGGCTACCAGAG